AATAATAAGACTTACATCTGGGCTGTATTTATTCAAATAAATAAATTTCATATTTCATCTTATGAATACACACACTCACATGCACATGCATACACACACACACACACACACACAGAGAGAGAGAGAGAGAGAGAGAGAGAGAGAGAGAGAGAGAGAGATGAGATAGTCAAAGGCTGAGCCAATTTCATGTCTGTGTTTGGGATGTCCTTGGCTACTGTGGTGACTAAAGAGCATTTGTCATTTGCTAAGTTAGTATGAAGAGTCTGTGAAGGCTTAAGATACAGTCACTCCTTCACCACCCACATCACCTAGAATTTTCAGCTCTTAGAGAAACATTATAGTGGGAATCCAGAAATAAAATCTGGACAAGAGTTGTGCATACAGTCACTCCTTCACCACCCACATCACCTAGAATTTTCAGCTCTTAGTGGGAATCCAGAAATAAAATCTGGACAAGAGTTGTGCAAAAAACTAGATGTAGGTAGCTGTAGGTCTTTTCTGAACTTCAAGAAAACATGAGATTCTCAGAAAATGAAACGACGGGGGTCCCCTTTCCTTTGCATACTAGCAGACAGAGTCCTCACCATCTGCTGCTGTAAGCCTGCCACTTGTCTCTACTTGGCAGCAGAGTCTAGAATAAGCACTGTTGACCTTCATCAAACCTTTTTATTCACAATACTCAGGAACTTCTAACTCTCTTGCCCTTGTCTCCTCTGGACATGGAGGTGCTTCAAGGACAACTTGTAGCCTTGGAGGGGTGGGTTTTAATTTGAAATAGACCAGAAATGTATGAATGAGTGTCTGCTGGTTTGCATTTTATTTGCTGTCTTGTGTTTCCAGCAGCCATTTCTGGTTGTCCTGGTTACTCCAGTGACTTTGCTCTGGCCCTGTGTGGTCACTCAAAAGAACTGCTCATAAGAAGACAGATGGAGTCCCAGACCTCACACCTGGTACCTATCTAGAGGATGGGGAGAAAATGCTGTCAATCAGATCCCCAAGGGACTTCACTGAACTGAAAGATTCCTGGGAGGTGGCAGTAATGAGTCACTGATGACACCTGCTGATCTTCAAAGAGAGTAGGATTGGAATGCTTCATGTTTGCAGTTTCAGCCCTGGGCCAAGACTTTTTTATTTCATAGTTTTGGAAGGTAAATCATACCAGCAATTTTTCTAAAAAGCACTTCTTGGACTAAGATCTGCTAGTATGAGGCTGCTAGGCTGAGGTAAATTTGTTGTTCTGCTATAGAAATGCAAAAGGGCAATCTGAAAAAAATTAAGGTGCTTTGAAAGTCATCTGTTGAATAACAGAACTAGACATAATCTTAAAGAAAATCAAGGGGAAGCCGAGAGAAAGGGCTCCACTGAACTTGGGCAGAGATTTGGGAGTTTCAAAATCTGGAATTGCAGGCTTCCAATCCTACGTCAAGCTATTCTGTCCAAGTTGACAGTAGCCACACTGAGGGGTGGGGTGGGGTGTCATGGGTGGGGTGGGGGGTAGTTAAATGTGTTTTCACAAAAGACTAGGGGTTTGCTGGGAAATTTGGGCCCTAAACTAGATGCCAGCGCTGTTTCTGCTACACTATGAGGGCTCCTTGGAAGTTGAAAAGAAAACAAGTAAACAAATAAAAAGCAGTAAGCCCCCAAGTACAGTTTTCTATGTGCTTCTGGGATGGAAAGCAGGCTTTCACCTTATGAATAACTGCAGGCTCTGAGATGACTGTTGTCTTCATTGATTCCATATTGAAGCTGAATTCTACCCAACTGTTGTGAGGCAGGAGAGTGGCATGGAGAGAGAGGTCGATATTAGCATATTAAAGAAGCAGTTGGCACAGACTGGAGGCTCTTTGCCACAAAGGCCAATATGTAACAAACAGAGCATGAACAGAAAAGAACCATGCTGTGTGAATGACTCCAAAGCCTGGGATATAAAAAAATTCCCAGCAGTTTGTACAGTGTTTGCGACTGACCCTCTGAACATCCTCCCAGTTCTGGCCCCTTTCTGGTCTTGGAAGTACATTGCTTCTTGGTAAACTATCTGCACCTCTGCTATTACCCATGTGTCTCTCTGTTCAGGTTTTGGTTCTGGGACACAAGAAGTTGGAAACCCCAGTGGACACTCACTGGAACCAAAATCTACCAACAGTTGGAGATCAGCTAATGAAAGATTAGTAGGTCCCAGTCAGGTCACATTAAACCTTGTTGCTTCCACAAGACCTGAATTATACTATGGTGGCCCAAGTGGAGGACAGATTGGTCATTTCTACCTGGGTAGGAGGAGGAGGAAAAGTCATATGGAGAAGATGTGCTTTCAGCTGAGTCTTGAATGAAGAGTAGACACCAGGGTTGGAAATACCAGACAACACAACACGTAGGCTGCAGCACAGCCAAGAGCAGAGGGTGACACGGGCTGGTGTTTGTAACCATGAGCAGCTTGTATGGCTGGCTGGCTTGGTTTGGGTTGTCAGAGCAGGCAGAATGTAATAGTAAGCAAGCTGCGTGAGAAGTAGGACCTGATCATGGAACTCCCTGTTCTATGTTGCAGAGATTGCTCTTTTATTATTTATTCAATAAATGCATATATTAAGAACTTACTAAATGTGAATTCTCAGGGTGACAGATTTGTGGTTTTTGTTGTTGCTGCTGTTGTTCTCATGGAGCTTTTATTATAAAAAGGGCAGACAGACATTAAGCTAATGATCATACAATTATTTAATTGCACACACAATAAGCCTCTGCTATGTGGAAGAAAATGATGTATAATGAGAGTTGTAACAGGGAAATCTAACTTAGTCTAGGGTCCAAGAGTTACCCAAAGAGGTAACATGAAAGCTGAACCCTGTGTAGATATTAGCCAGCTAAAGGAAGCTCATTTAGACACTTTGGAAGGAGGATTTGGGCAGATGTGATATGGACAAAGGTCTGGACACAGAGTTAGCTGGAGTTTTACAGAAGCAGGCAGGTAGGAAAGCCACATGGTCCTGTCTGCATCTCAGCAACCATCCTGTTTGCACTGTGAGGGATGCAGGATGGAGAGTCTGGTGGTTGGCTTTATGTTTTGAGGGCAAAGGGAAGGCCTGACAGCAGGCAATTCTTCATTTCTAGATCTGCCCAGTGGCAGTCTCAGGACGATATTAACAATTGATTCAATAGATCTGGTGAAGAGCACCTCTCTCACATGTGGGAACGACATCATTCAGTCCACAAAGGGCCCAAGAAGAACAAAAAAGCAGAGGAAGGAGGGAGTGTCTCTCACTTCCACGCTCTTGAGACGAGAAGATAGCAACTTGACCGGTAGTTAGGGTGGGGACCTCCAAAAAAAAAAAAAATCAGCCTGTTCTGTCCTGGCTGAAAATGCCAGACATGTTTTAGCCAGGAGGCATTGGTTTGGTTCATGTCCTAGGTTATTTATGAATTTATTTTTCCTTTCTTCTATAGCATAGCAATCTAATTAATACAGCTGTCTGGAAGTTATGCATGAAGAAATACTTCACTGGTCCTTGAAGACTTGTGCCAGAATCTCAACCCAGTCACGAGAACGTAGAGGCACAAGGACACCCTGTGGGGACCTACTGCTGGGCCAGCTGGGCTGGTCAGCCCACGTCTCCTTACTTCTCAGCCCAGTAGTTTCAAAGACTTATCTACTTCTTTGGTTAAAAAGTCTTAACTCCTGGACAAAGCCCCACTACTTTCTATACTGGCTTTCTCTTTATAATAAAGCTCCTTGTTGAATTTACTCTCCATTATTTGTGAAATTCTCTCTTTGAGTTTGTAACACCAAGGACCTGAAATATCACTGATTCTGTAGACGTTTTAGTGACTGTGAGACCATGACCACTGAGTTAAGCCCACTTGAGACTAGAAAGTCTCTGTCATACTTAGGGACCACCATTTTCCCACTTCACTTGGGCATTAGTGCTCCTGGTCCTTAAGGCTTTGGACTCTGGCTGGGATTTACAACACCAAACCTACATTTTCTTAACTTTCATTGTTTGGATGGGACTGTATTGCTGGCTTACACAGCACCAGCTTGGAAAGAACAGATCATGGGACTTTCGTGCTACCATCATTTTGTGCGTCAGTTTCCCACAGTAACCCTTTCCTTCTACGTCTAGGCACCATATTGATTCTATTTCCTTGGAGACTCTTGACTAACCAGGATTTGTAGAAGGCAGTTTGTGTGATGTTGTGACCGATTTGGTGGAAATGACAAAGTGAGGGCTAAAATTGTGACAGAATGGATAAGGAAATTGGAATAGACTCGACAGGTATTTAGGGCCTCGAACTGGCTCTACCTAATGACAAAGAGGTTAAATATGGGAATCATGGAGATAATTATCAATAGAATAATCCTTAGCTATTTGGATGGAGTCCTTGTGTGAATGATGGGATGAGGACACGGAAGACTAGATCTGGTGGGTCGTGGGGATGAGGGGATGGGATAAGTGTCAGTGTGGGTACGTTTGCCTTGAAAGTAGATAGGCAACTGGAGATGAGCATAAAATCTTGTAAAAATTTCAGAGCTAGAGTTACTGAAATAGAAAATGTTTGCAGAGAGGTAGGTGTGGCTGAAGCATGACACCTGAGAACTCTCCCAAAGGAATTCGAGTGAGAAGATGGGAGAGTCAAGGCCTGAGCCTTTGTGAGAGTGAATGAGGAGTAGGTTCCTGAGGACTAGCAGTGATGCCATGCGGTGGACTGGGAGACTCTTTGGTACCCTTCCTCCAAACTCCATTACTTTCTATCTTCTGTGCAAGTCCTAATTCAATGAAAATTGTCTAGCCCAGATCCAGACCGTCTGTCAACCATCTCCCCAGACAGACAGCCTGGAGCTCACACTGCACTTGTGTTTAGAGGGTATACAGATGCAGGAAATAAAAGAGAAGTAAAATTAACACAGAACTGTACATTGATTTTCTGGGTTGACACTGTGATAATGCTGACTCAAAAAGTGACTTTGGAAGATCATATTTGTGAATGAAAATGATGACTTTTAGGTTCCAGTGAGATCCATGTGGATCTGGGCAATGGCAGTTGATGATGTGAGCCTGAGTCTGAGTGGGAGACTGGGCCTTGTCATGTAGACCCACCATCTGTCTCAAGTTGATTGTTGGAACAATAGGGCTCTCATTTGCCAGAATATTCTATCACCCATCCAGAAAAATCCATTTCAGTTTAAGCCCTGTTTCCTGTCTCGATCTCCTGAGCACTGGGATGACAGTATATACCACTGTGCCCAGTTTATACAGTGCTGGGGATTGAACCCAGGACTTTGTGCATGGTGAGCAAACAATCCATCAACAGAGCTCTATCCCCCAACCACACAAGGCAGCTATTTACCAATGTTTACTTGTTTTTGGTGGCAGGCTCCTTGGTCATGGTGTATATCCACATTTGGGAATTCCAGGTCGCTAAGGTAGTAGTGCCCATCTACTGCCTCGGACTGGGGCCTTACGTCACCAACACATACGAATGTGCCTGGGGTCTCATGATGTGATAGCTTATGGCCTGGAGGCTGGGGCCAGGTTGCTATATTCTCATGATCAATGGAGTTAGGGTCACTTTCCAGATCCATCTCACACAAATGAGTCTGGACTAGAAATGAGGTTTCCAAAGAGAGCTTCCTGAATTTCACATTTCTCCACAATTCTCTGTGGGGTGATGTCTTCATAACTTCCTGCTGATGTCACATGGTCCTCATATTCTCCCAAGTTCCTGCTGGGGAAGGGCTGACTGGCCCCGCCATTCTCCACAGATACCTGTTCCTCAGGCAAGCTCCTTGCATCATCATAATCCTCAGAACTCAGGGTAAACAAAGAGCCCTCATCAGAATCGGACTCGTAATTGGTCACCAAGTCATAATGAGAGTCAAAAGGATCACCTCTTAGCACAGGCTCCTTAGAGGCAGGAGTGACATGGGGGCCACTGTCCCATCTTGGCATAAGGGAGGGTGAGTCTACATCTTCTGGGTCATTGTATAAGACCTCATCGTAGACACCTGAAACTTCTTCCTCAGCATCTGCTTCCTGGAAGCTTGGCAGCTGTGTGGCCAGCCCCTTAATGGAATTGGTCACCTGGGAAGATTCCATCGGTGAGCCCATAGCTCCCAAAGGTTCAGGGCACCCCCTTTCCTTACTCTCCCCAGACCCTTGTGTGCTTGTATGTACCACAGTTTTGGAGACGGGAGCTACAACATCTCTTGACTGTGACAGGTGCAATTCATCCCATCTACCATCGATGGAGCTGGGGACAGTTCCCAGAGGGCTAGCAATGGAAGATGCATCCATCACACCCTCATGGAGAGAATATTCCTGGGCCACTGTGTGGTAATGTAACTCTTCGGGAACATCATAGTGATCCTGTTCTGTTGAAATCGGCTCTTGCGTATCAACATTTGGAAGTCCAGGGAGAGCAGAATGGGCTACCTGGGCATATGGAAGCACATTGCAGACTCCACTTCTCACCCCAGTGCTGTCCTCAAGTTGCATTGGGTTCTGTTGACCACTGAACTCCATCCTGCTGCTCTCCAATTCCCTTTCTGACATGACAGCATCGTATAGAACTGGCTCTGTCACCCAGGAAGGGTTCTGGCTCTCATAAAGGTTGAGGTGGTGGGGAGCTTGGTGCAGCTCTGTCCCTTGGCATTGTACACGTCGGGAAGCTTCAACTTCATCATAGAAACCCTCATTTGCATAGGCATTTTCGGAGCCAGGCCTTTTGCTCAGGCAGCTTTGTTGCCACAGCCTGTCAATATAAGGCCTTGCAAAAGCACCCAGGCAGAAGGCCACCACAAATGTGATGAACACAGACAGGCAGATGGCCAGGACGAGGTCTGGGGAATCATTGTCCTTTCTGTCAGTGTCATGTCTGTTCTGGGAGTCTCTGAGTTCTGTAGGGGGCCGTGGCTGTATCTTCTCGAGGTCATCATAGCCCATCCATGTCTCCTCCTGTGGCCGTGTCTCCTTGAGGTCATCATGGTCCACCTGTGCCTGCTTCTCCAGAGTGGAAAGGTGAGTGTCCATTCCTTCCTGGGGCCTTTCTGCCTTGCTCTGCATGAAGCTTTTCTCATCACTCGGAGTAGGAGGAAGGTGTGCTTCCCTGGAAATTCTGATTTGGGGGGTCTCCAAATATGGCTTCTCATTCCCTGCAAGAGGAAGATGGGAAAACACACTGACAAGATGTTGGAATGGGACACCAGGCTTTCCGAGCTTCTGTGATCCCCCTTCCCCCCACAGTCTTTAGCTAGCCATGCTTTCAAGCATGTATCAGCTAACAGGTAACTTTATTATTCATGTATTCATTCGTGTGTTCATTCCTGTTCATTGCCCACAGTGTGCACGTGGCTCTGTAGACATTTCCACAAGACTGTGAGACATAGGTGTGCTTCTCAAAGGCTCAAGGTTGTGTTTCTGAGGCCTCCTGCCCTACTGCTGCCCAAGGGAGGAAGCCGCAGGATGGGAGGGCTGACCCATGGCTTCTCCTTCCTCTATACCCTCAACTACTTCGAATTTGCTTGAATGTTCTACTAACCCTTTATTGCATCTGCTTCTGCCCTACTTGTTGTAGGTTGGAATATTTGCTCTTCCCTATTCACCAGTTCTGGTAAACAGTAAACACGCACTTTTCTCTGCTGCCCTACATACTCATCCTGGCTGATGACTTCCCCCTGCTCCTCATGGATGTCTTCTAAACTCAGTAGTCATGGCAATGATGCAGCTTTAATGGCAAACCCAAAGCGGTCAGATTGCAGGCCTTTTGTCCTGAATCTTGTTCTCAGGATAGTGAGTATAGCAGGGAGATAAAACCTTCCCAGATTGTCCTGCTTCAGTGGTATAATCCATTATGGGGGAGTGATGAGGATCTGATCAAATGAAACTTTACTTCTGAAGCCTGTATGCTTGTCTTCTGTACTCAGAGGGTCACATTTTAGAGGTTAGCAAACATTTGGAATAATGTTAAAATCCCTTCTTGAATCAACTACTAAGAATTGGGATGAACTTTGCGACATTTTGGGGGCTGCCAGGCAAAATTCTTTTCTAGCTAAAGAGCCATTTCATTTGCATGTTTCTTTGATCATGTGGGGAAACAAACTGTCAGAAGCCAAGGAAAGGGGTTAAGTGCCAGGACTGCCCTGTGACTCACTCAGCCCAAGGCTGAATAGGGTGGGGACCAGCATCCTTGTTTGTTGAGAGACTGTCACTACTTTTAAGGAGACTGACTTCTCATATGAACTCTCCATCCAAACGAAACTATTTCAGAAAAAATCACCACACACTCACCCACAGACATGTTGCAGATGGCATCCCACTTCTCCCTCCAGGATGCAGAGGTGACATTTTGGAAGTTGGCATTGCTCTCGCCACACCGCCACTGGTTATCAGCCAAGTCAAGTTCCAGGTGGGGTAATTCTAGAGCAATGGTCACAATGGGTGCAAGGGTGGTCAGTGCATTGCTTCTGAGGTCTACCACCTGCTCAAAAAGAAGCAAATATAGATCAGTCTGTGTACACAGACAGTGAGGTAAAAAAACAAAAACAAAAACAAAATCTATAAGGACTTACACACAGGTATTTCTAGCTCTACAAAAGCAATACAAATTCAGGCCTGGCATAAAAACCAGTGAATACTGGGTTTGAATTTCTGACCTGCCCACAAAGCCTCTGTGTCTTGGCAATTGTTTGCTTTCTGCGAGCCCATCTCCCAGCATTGCCCAAGGGTTAGATGTTTGCAGAAGCTTTTCAGACATCCAGACATTTCATAGTTTCTATTTACCATGTAACCTATGGCAAACTCCAGACTCACATGCTATTATCATTCAGGAAAATTGGATACAGGCCAAGAATTTATCAAAATATCATCATCTTGGGAAGAGCAAAGGATATGAGTGCTGAGGCCACGAAACACAGGAAAATTGTGGTGGGTTAACTATCTCAGATAGTAGTACACGGTTCTCTGTGTACTTAAGGCTGTTCAGTACCTACAAGATGACTCATTTCTCCTGCACAATTAGAAATTGTGGGGAACAGAAATGATTTAGTGGCTCAAGTGACAGGCCAGGCTGTGCTGAAGCTGGGCACAGCAGTGCATGACACTACAGGGGAAGTTATGTTAGGTATGGCTATGGTTACTGCTAGCAGAACAGCGCTGTAGGCCGGGCATTCCGCTGAGTGCTTTACGTGCTTTCTCAGATTCTGCTAACAACTTCCACAGCTCCCCCTTCACACAGTGCATCCCACATAGAACGTACTTGGTACAGGGGTCTGGAAACTATAATCAGGTGTGGTGGTGCAATCCCGGAGCTTAGGAGGTAGAGACAGGAGGATAGAAGACAAGGGTCAGACAAAATACCAAGCTTGAGACTGTCCTGAGCTACTCAAGACTCTGTCCCAAACAGCAGAAACAACAATGAATGGAAAGCCAAAGAATTAAAGGAGAGTTGTGATGCTTTCTGGCCTTCTAGCTGTGTGTCTTCACTTCAAAACATACCCTCTCTGAGCTACCACATTAGTGTGAAGAAGACATTTGGAGAATATCAGTGGTGACAACAGAAGTAAGAATCAGAAAATAGAGAATGCCAGCCTTGCTTTAACAAAAGAGGACATGGGTGAAAGGTCACTTGTCACCCAGGACACCATATTTTCTCTCATCCACCAAGAATGGTTACATTTTCATTATGCAATCCAGGTGGGGCCTGGAACTCATGGCAATCCTCTTTGCTCAGCCTCTTGATCAAGGCCAATTTCTAAAAAAAAACAAACTTAGATTATACAAATTCTTAAGTCTAACAGCCAAAACACTTGACCACAAACAAAACTAATAGAGATAGAATTGATTTTTTTTTATGAACTTAACAAGGATGACTGTCCTGTGCTGAGCAGCTCTGCAGTCTTGACTCTCAGGGAAGCCCTGAAACTAGGAGCAAGAGGCCTGGACAAGGAGGTAAAGAAAGCACTTTCTTTGGGCCTGGTGTTGCCCGGGGACAGATGCTATGCCCCATTGGTGTCTTGTCTGAGCATCACACTGAGTTGTTCTCATGTTTTCTGGTTACATATTTCCTTTTTTGGTGTATTTTTACATCCTAGGTTTGTTTTTTTTGGTTTTTGTTTGTTTGTTTTGTTATTACAAATCATGGAACTGAAAGCCAGTCTGGAAGAAAGAAAATGAATGAAATAATTCAGGAAGAATAATTTCTGAGAAAAGATGAAAATAGAATTGTAACTTAGCAAAAGAAATCCCCATCCTACAGCTTTTGAGAGGTACATATATTCCTGGAAGGCTGGGAGACAAGCAGCATATTGCTACACAAATCACTGTATCTAAGAAGAATGAGATAAGATTAAGAAAGGCTAATTTGAAATGTCAGTGGAACTCACTCACTTCATCCATTTAGGTATGTTGATGGATTTATGTTTTAAAAATCTATTTGGCTTCCGGGAAGGTGCCCCCACGGGAAGACAAACACAACAGTGCCAATGTGAAATTCATCTTCCAGAAGGAAAAAGCCAACCACTGTGATATTCAGCTTCCTGGTGCCAAACATCTTCATCATGGTCCACAGCCAGTGTTTGGAGTTTTTGCCAACCACACAGAAGGGAACACTGAGCAGTTCTGGTGAGTTGAGCATTAAGGCTATATTCCAACCATGCTCAAAGTTGACTTATAGCCTGCCTATGCTTTTTTTTTTTTTTTTTTTTTTTTTTTGTACCCTTGAGCTTTGAAGACTCTAATGTGCAATAAAATGTACAGGAGAGGAACACACAGGACAAATTCCACATACAGCTGTCCCTGTAAGCAGCACACACTAGTTAAGGCTCCTTCACAACCTGCCAATCTCTTGCTAGTGAAATGGAGAGCACGGCCAGGTGAAGCGTGTTCTTGTACTCTAATAACTGCTGTGGCAGATAGACTTCAGAGTGGTCACCCTCGATCCTACCTTCTGGTAATCAGACCTTTAAACAATCTCTTCCCTCCAGAGCAGGCAGGACAGGTGATTTGGTTTCTAGCCAATTGACTCTGCCAACGACAGCAATGGGATGTCACTTTTGTGATGACATTCCATAAAATTGAGATACTTTTCTCATGCAGAGCAGAGAACGCCAGGGAGAATCCTACCACCTCCAAAGCAAGATGCCTGAAGGCCACTGACAGGAACCATCCCACTGTCCTCACCAAAGGCAAGGACGAGGAGAAAAGTGTTTGCAAGAACAGGACCCTGGGGTTCCTCAGTTTCTTATTAGGGAAACAATTTGCAAGGCTCACAGCTCTGAAGTGGAATGTCAGTGGTGTTTAGAATAACATATGGCATGTGACAAGCACATGTGTGTACTATTATCACTGTCATTTTGGTACCTCTGACTGAACTTGCAGCCAAGGTACGTGGCATTATTTGTTTGTTTATGACAGTATTTCATTCTGTAACACCGGCTGAGCTGAACCTCCTTATTTAGATTAGACTGGTTTCAAACTCTTAAATAGCATATTTAATTTCTTGCCAACCAGTAGATGGAATCTTGGAGTTGAGTATAATTTGATTTAGATAAATAATATATCAGTTTCTTTCTTTCATTTTTGGACAGTGTCATCTGCAAGCCAGCTGGCCTTGAACTTGATACATATGTAGCTATGACCTTGAACTTAATGATCCTCCTGCTTCTCCAACCCCAGAATACAAGTGTATGCTGGCGATCAAACCTAGGGCTGGTGGCATTTTAGGCAGGCCCATTATCTACCCAGTCATATCTACAGCCCAATAATGTGAATTCTTGCTGCTGAGAATTCTTGCTAAGTTTGTATCCATGGTTGCAGTCGTTGCTCTCTGAGCAATAGATTTCAGTTGTTTTAGGAGCTCTTAAATAGACTCGCACACTTTGATTAACAGCCAGTAGCCCTGCACATGGAGACACCCTTAAAAGGAAACAGTTCTCTATTCTAATTGGCCACAAATCTGTGTAGTTAAGACAGTGATAAGAAAGATTTTAGAACCTGTAATTTGTTGAGGCCCTTGAAGGCTTCAGGGTGAATCGTACATATCTTGTTGCTCTTTAAATAGATGCTCTCCAGCTGCAGGCAGCTATGAAAATCAGACAGCCCGATGTGAACTATCCTGTTGAATGACAGATCCAGATTCTGCAGTGACTTTAGCTTCCACAGTCCTGAGAAAAGGAAAAGCAAATTAAAACCTAAACTGGTGCTATTTGCTGCCATATAGTGTGTGGTGGAAAATCAGAGATATTAATGGCTCTCGAGTGGGAAGTTGTCAAAGGTGTATTAAGGCTGTGAAAAAATAATCTTAAGAGAAACTAGGCCAATTAGCATGTGACCTTAGTGAGCAGAAGGAAAAAAATTAAGTCAAAATAGTATAGAATATAATGACAATGTTCTTGAGGAGTATGTTCATATAAACATATGTAGGTATGTATTTTGTGTGGACAGAAATAAGGAGGCTATTGAACTTATCAATAGTCATTTCAGTTTGGTGTAGGATGGCTGAGGGAGGGGAAGAAGGATATGGAGAAAGCTTTCTTTAACTTTATAGGCATTGGTTTGTTCTTTCAAATGGGCATGTGCTATCTCCATCACACATTCATTTATTATTTCTCTTCTGTGCATTTGTATGTGGATAGCACAGTGCACGTATGGAGGACAGAGGGATAACTGTCAAGAGCCATTCTCTCCTCCCACCACGGGGGCCCCAGGATTTGAGCCCAGATCATCAGGTTTGGCTACAAGCACCTTTCTTTCCCAGGTGAGTTGTCTTACTAGTCTAGTGTTTGTTCTTTTTAAATTAAAGAATCAATTTTTAGCATTCTAACTATGATTAAATAAGGTGATGAGCAGATGTTTGTTACTTTGATCAATTGTGAGTGAAACCAAATTATCCCCCTATGATGTTAACACGTGAGAAACTTACCCTGAGATTTACTATTACATGAATGAATTCCTCCAATTTTAAAGTTTCTTATTCAGTTTTTAAAGCTTCTTTTTAAAATTCTCATTGTGTATATTCATTGTACATGGTCCTGTACTGCATAAGAATATTTTTGTGTCAGTGTATATTGTATGTTGAGTGTATCCACCTTCCCTCCCTCCCCGTTTGTCCCCTTTAGTTGCAGGGTTCTAATTCTACTTCCATGTCACACATGCACACGTTTATTTTTAGCTATTTCCATTCTCATAGCCATTTACCATTGATATGATAACTTTGTTGTAGGTATTTTTGGATATTTCAAAGGTAAAGAAATCACAGGTATATTTTGCTTTCCAGCACAAGAATCAGATGGAGTTTTAGCCTCTGCCTTAGTCTTTCACTTTGTTCTGGGGAGTATGCAAAAGATCCCAATGGCACTGAGGACAAAGACTGAGAATAAGGTGCCAGTCACAAGAGACTTGCAAACTTAATTCCCAGATGGGTCTCCCAGGGAGGTGCTTGCAATTTCACAAGTTCTTCAGCCCTGGTTCTCAAGCATGGGCTGAGTCTTTAACTTCCGTGTGGCAGATCAAGTTTGTTCAGTTCCAGAACAAACTTTATTTCTTGCTTACTGTCTACAAGGTATTGATGACAAGACTGATTATGAAGAGAGTGGGTACCATAACTGAAATGGCTATAGCATGTAGACCGTCATAAGTTCACTTGAGTAGCACAGATTAAGCAAGACAACTTTAATGAATCAATCAAAAGACAATGATGGAGGCACTTGGTGCTGATGACAAATCCTTATCCCAGAAGCTTTGAGGGGTGGCGCGATAAGACACGTACACAAGAAAAGTTATTTGTTAGGCAAAGTGGTTCATCATTCACACCTCCCCACTATACAATGGGCTACTTGTCTGTCCTCCTGACTTTCAAATAATCCAATCTTTTCCATGCAGAATAAGGTGAACTTTTGGAAAGCTTGGGATGTAGTGTTTGGTCTACACAGAGATCCAAAAACATTGAGCCAATATTAATGATTCAATACAAAAGTCTGCATCTCTGGCATCTCTGGAAAGACTCAAAGTTCCAACTGGTGTAAGACATTAGGCTAGAGCTGAATGGAGGCTGCCTGATTTTGATGGAGCATGAGCTTGTAGAAAGCTATTATGTCTCTGAATACTCTGTGTATTTGAGTGTGTGTTACACACACACACACACACACACACACACACACACACACACACACATGATAGATAGATGATAGATAGAAAATTGGTCAAGAAAACTATATTTAAATAGCCATGAGAGCGAGCCAGAGCTGATGTTCAGTTGGCATATGTGTGTGAAATACTCTCATATTACTTTATAAACTTCTATGTCTTGAGTCTGTGCAGGCTGCCCCACTGTCCTGGCACTCCAGTGGACCTTCTTCCAGCTCTTCCCAAGTCCTCTTTCAACTCTTCCTCTACTGTAGCACCAGTGCCAGGAGGCATCTAAGTGGGAGTTTGGGGGGGAAGGCCAATCATCAACAACCTCTAGAGTTGAACACACCCTCTGGAGAAAACACATTTTCTTGTGCAGAGAATAGTCCTCCACGTTTAGATGTGCGAGCATATGGCACAGGGAGGGGCCTGTCAGACAGCACTGGGAAAGCACTGCAGGTTCTCTGCTATTCCCCTCATGCTTGTCTGGCCTATTTAGAAATGTGAATTCATGCTTCCTAAAATAGCTCAATGCTTAACTGAACTGGGTAAGTCTCTAGGAGCTCAGTGGAGGGAGAACACATACTTGCTTTGAAGGGCAGAGAGACAACTATGTGAAGCTCCGGTTTAATCATGCATTCTTTATGCTCTAGGCATTTCACAAGTCTTTCATTTTTAATGTTCATAAAGTTCTGGGGCTTCTCACCATTTATAAACAAAAGACTCAGGCAAGGTGACAGGGTAGGAGCTGGATCAAAGCCCAGATAGCTTAACTATTCATAACCCTGTAACTATGCCCCAAAAGTAGATGCAACAACAGAACAGACAAGAACAGATACCGAAAGATCTTGAGTGTTAAGAGGGGATGAGAGGGCTGGATTTTTTAAGAACTCACTGAGTGTTTAGTCACTGTTTCATTGCTGTGAAGAGACACCAGGCCCAAGCAACTCTTATAAAAGATAGCATTTAGTTGGGGACTTGCTTATAGTTTCAGAAGTTTAGTCCATTGTCATCATGGTCGGGAGCATGGCAGCATACATACAGGCCTAGTGCTGGCGAAGTAGTTAAGAGTTTTACATCTGGATCTGCAGGCAGAGAAAGAGAGACTGGGCCTGGCATAAGCTTTTGAAACCTCAAAGCCCCCTCCCAGCAACATACTTTCTCCAACAAGTCTGCACCTTCTAATCCTTTCAAATAGTATCACTCTTTGGTGACCAAACATTCAAATATATGAGCCTATGGGGGACCATTCTTATTCAAACCACCAAATTACACTCCCTGATCCCCATAGAACTGTAGCCATATCATAATGCAAAACTGCATTTAGTCAAACTTCAAAAGTTCCCATAATCTCAACATTGTTTAAAAGTCTAAAGTTCAAAGTCTCTTCTGCAATTCATGTAATCTCTTAACTATAACCTCTTGTAAAATCAAAAATTTAAAAAGCAGATCACATACTTCCAACATACAATGGCACAGGATATACATTACTATTAGAAAGCGGAGGAAAGAGAGCATAGCTAGGAAATACTGGACTGAAGCAAGACAGAAAACCATTTGGGGAAACTCCTAACTCTGTATCTCCGTGTCTGATGTCAAAACACTCTTCAATTCATTCCAGCTTTGTTGACTGCAACACACTTCTTTTTCTTGGGCAGGTTCCACTCCCTGTTAGCAGCTCTCCTCTGCAGGTATCCCATAGTTCTGGCCTTTCCCACATCTTGGGGTCTCCAAGGCAATCCAGGTTTCACCTTCACAGCTTCATGCCTTGGCCTCTCTGGACCTCCATACAGGGACACCCCTGACACATGTCTGGCTTTAGCAGCTTTCCTTAGCCTTGGAGGGAGATTCTACAAAGATACTCCCTCATTGTATCCTTGACCTAAAAGCCAGAACTATGAGGCTGAAGCTGTGAACTTCTGCTGCTTGTTGGAGCTGCAACTTGGCTCCCTCGTTCAATCACATCTGCACGAGCTTTCTGTTGTGGATGGTTTCCTTTCCTGCTTAAGTTTTTCCTTCATTTCTTTTCACAAGTTGGAAGCTTAGTTGGGTGGGTTCTGGCCCTGAGGACATCACTCCTTTTATTGCATTTAGCATCAGGCTTTTCTTTAAACTTTTTAATCTCCTCGAGCACTGGATTTAACACCATTACACCTCCTGGTGCTCCTTTTCTCCTCAAACTGTACACACTGCATTTCTCCTTGCCCCACTTGCTCCTTTTCATTGTAGATCTGCACAAGAGTGACCACTAGTAACCATGTGACACAGTCAATATTAGGCTGTTTTAAAATCTCCTCTTCCAAACACCTTAATCCAAAATGCTTCAATTGAGCCTCAGGCAGATTTTTTTTAAGACAAGGGCAAAAAGTAGCCACATTCTTTGCCAAAATATACAAGAATGGTTTCTAGGCCACTTACTAATATTATTTCCCTCTGAAACTTGAGCTGGGCCTCCACAGTTCAAATTTCCCTCAGCACTGTCTTCCATGTTCCTACTAGAATTGCCCCTTAACTTAAAGCATCTAACTGCTTTTCTAGTCCAAGTCCCAAAGTCCATAATCCTCCAACGAACAGCATGGGTCAGTTCTGTCACAGCAATATCCCGGACCTAGAACCAACTTATTTTTTAAAATAAGTCTTATTTTATTATTTTATGTGCATGAATGTTTTGCCTGTATATATATTATTATTAATTTTAAAGAGTCAGCCTCCTTATCATTATGTAGTACTCTTCTTTATCTTGATGATTTTTCGTGTTCTGAAGTCTTTGTCTGGAAATACTATAACTTCTCTGGGCTGGGGGATGGCTCAGTGGATGATGTGCTTGCTGTGAAAGCCTAAGGACCTGAGTTCAGATCTCCAGCATTTTCATAAAAGCCAAGCATGATGGTGTATATCTGTAACCCCATTGCTGAGGAGGCAGAGACAGGTGAGTCCCAGCAAGTTGCTGTCCAGCCAGTCTAGCCAAAGGTGGGCTCTAGCTTATGTGAAAGACCCTGACTCAAAAATATGGTGGAGAGCCAGGTGTGGTGGCCCA